CTGAGGGTGAGACAGAATAGAAAAGGAGCCGCCGAGTTGTAGGACGGAGACGGGTGGTTGTCCACGAGAAGAAAAAGTGGAAGTGTGCGAAGGAGGCAACACTCACTCCTGCAGGGTCTCCACTCCCATTTCCTTATACTGCAGCTCCTGCTTCACCTGGGCCAGCTCCTGCTTCAGTCTGGAGAGCTGAGGACACACAACAAAAAGGAGCTCAGTCCTGTTTACACACACTGTGTGTGTGTGTGTGTGTGTGTGTGTGGACGGTACACCGGCTCAAACGATATAAGAACTCCGTACGGTACGAATTCCTCACGTACCGTTCACACCGTGTTACGCCACAACAACCGACGTTGCTCTTCAGCAGGCGGCAGAATTGATTTCTACACGTCGTGGCGGAGCGACTTACGTCTTACGTGTGGTTATAACTTTATAGCGACAATGAATAATCCACAACAACCACTTTAACAGGCACAACAGCTTGTGACACACAAACAATTTGTAAGACTAATAGTTGTACATTTATTTAAAAAAATACCCCACCCAACTGCATGCCGGGCAGCGGACAGCCGGCGGCCCTTTTCGTCCTTTTTTGGGGTCAATGAATGAGTTTACTTGAAGAAGCAATACGTCACATACCGAATCAGAATCTTTGTAAATACCGTGAGATTTTGGGGCCACACCGCGCAGCCCTACCACACGTGTGAGCTCGGTGATCGGTGCGCAACAATAAAATACCTAATTTAAAAATAAAACAATAAAATATGACCAACATTAAACAGGGAAGTACAGATTATTAGAATAGTATTAATAATACAGCAAAGCTCTACGTCGGAGTATAAAATGTGATAAAAGTTCGAGGGGAATTCGAATGAAAACGTTCATTTAATGGACTCAGAGAGAACGTTTGTCCGTTGATCATTCTGTAAACTCTGCTTTGTTAACTGTATCTGTGAAGGTTAAATCCAACATTTACAGAGATAAAAAAACAAAATTTAGGTATATTAGATATAAATCACTTCTAACTACCAGTATTTATGTCCAAGAGCAAGAACTACACATCTACCGGGGGGCAAATGGCTCGCAGAGATCCGTAGTGAACAAAATCAATAAAGTGTGATTTCTACGGGTGACCTCCCCTCTGCCTGACCCTTCGATGATGATGATGATGATGATGATGATGATGATGATGATGATCTCATCCTCCAGAAGCCTCGGTATCCTGTAGGGGCCACACACCCCCCCCGCCCCCCTCTGTCTCCCCACCCAGAAAAAGGGGCCCCGATCCGCCTCGGCACCATTGTTCTGCTCCCACGGTGACTCACCCGCTCTCGCCTACAAGCCACCTCTGCTTTTATTTGGTCGTGGTCGTATTTGGAGTTGGAGGAGGAGCCAGAGAGCGCTGCGGACACACAGGGGGGGGGGGGGGGGACACGGTAAAGAACATAAACGCTGGATTACCCGTGACAACCAACGCGTGACTGCAGGAACAACTGGAAGCTTTGACGCGCATCACGTTTCTTGTCAGCATTGATTGGCCCGATAGGCCGTGTGGCGGGTGGTGCGCGCTGAGCTTACTGCTGGTGATGGAGCGGTTGTCCTCGGAGAGCTCGTGGAGGAGCAGCATCTCCCGCTGGGCCAGCTCCAGACGCTGCTGCTTGACCAGGTACATCTCCTTCTTGGCTTTGAGGGCCTCCTGGGCCACCACCAGGTACTCCTTCAGCATGCGCTCCTGCTCCTGGCGCCATTGAGTCCGCGGGTTCTCGATCTGGGTGGTCTCTGGAGACGGGGGGGGGGGCACACAGAAGGCGTTCACACACACACACACACACGCGCGCGCTCGGGTAACGCATGGACATTTCTGTCTCTTTTTGCGCCTTTTCCCAGAATCGCCATGGCAACGCTGGTGTGGATGGCGTGAAGCAACACGTGAAGATAAAGACGTTCACGAGACTTGGCGAGGAACTGACCAACGAGACTCAGCGACGCCCTGATTGGACGGAAGCTTTCACTGCAGCGCACCGAAATGTGACTCAAACTTTTTGTCTTTTCCAACTTTTGGTTTCTGGAGTTTGCAGCAGAGTCGTGTTGAAGCCCCTGATTTGCATAAAGTAGGTTGAACTAATCTGGATGTGTTTTTCTTTTATCATCTACATCTGGCGTGACTTTAAAAAGAGACATTTAAATAAACGTTATCGTCCTCAGTGTTGAGACCACTACGTGCACACAAAACTACGATATTCTACAATAACACGTGCTTTGTTAGAGCCAATCAGGTGACAGCCAGACGTTTCCCATCATGCACCTGGGTCCAGCTGTCACAGGTCAGTTGTTTGGATGTTTGGTTCTAGAACAAACATTTTAAAATTTTAATTTTAATTTAAAAAAAAGGAAAAGGATCTAAAACCATCAAAATATAGATGAAAGTGAAAAATATTATTAATATAATAGCTCGAAGCAAAAAAATGTACCCCAACATTTTAACTTGATGACATCGTTCTGTTGGTCTGGATTTGTCTCATATTCCCATAGAGGCGTCTGACACGGAAACAAGGAGACGCAGCGGACACCAAACCTGGAGGTGTGTGTCCTCGCTGCTGTGTGTAGGTGCTGGCAGACGAGGGGAGAACTCACTGTTGATGTGGTCGATGTAGTAAACGCCCACTTGCTGGTCGTAAACCTCCTCCCACCCGAGAGGAAGCTCGTCCCCGACGCAGTCAGCAAACGTCAGCGGCTTGGTGATCCTGAAAGGATGGAAAGGCCTCAGAGCCCGACGACAACAACGCACAACACACACACACACAGCGACGACAACAACGCACAACACACACACAGCGACGACAACAACGCACAACACACACACAGCGACGACAACAACGCACAACACACACACAGCGACGACAACAACCCACAACATATCGCGCCCACTAGTACGCACAAACAATACACACACATACTACGCATAATTCACATGCACACAACGACAACAACGCATAACCCAAAAAATAGCGGCATCATCAAGGAGCTTGCTAAATTTGTGTGGTAACTCGCTCGCGGAGGATGACACCCTTAGCTGGACTCCTTTGTAGGTGACTACAGTCTGTGAAGACGGACACACTTAACACAGACGTAAGTGGCACAAAGAATAGACGGTTGACCGATGTGAGACCGATACAAGACGGAAAGCTGATGGCCTCACGACGAGTGATTCGTACCTTTCATTCTTCATGGCTAGAGGGTTTGT